ACATGTGAATAAATTACTGATTTAGTACTCAAAATCAATAAATTAAAAAATAGATTCGTATTCAAGACTAAGTATTTGTAGTTCTCAGAGTAAGAGTGATTACTGACTCAACAGTACATAACAACAACTGAAATAGAGACAAAAATTAGCACTCTTCCCAGGAGATCACTTTCTAGACTTAAAAGACCTAAAGATAATTAGAATTAATAATTTATTTAACTGCCAGCACAACTCATTTAAAGTAGGATGGAAACCATGCAAGCTATAGGACAATGGGATGGCTTATACAGAAGCTGAAAGAAAACAATTGTCAGCCAAGGACCCTATACTCAGCAAAGCTCTCTATCAACTATGAAGGAAATCAGATCTTTCGTAGAAAAGAAAGAACTTAAGGAATTTGTAACAAGAAAAACTACAAGAAACTACAAAACTTCAAGAAATTTCAAGTGAAGTCCTTTACACAGAGACACGAAAGGAAACAGAAATGATAGAAAAAGAAACATAGCAAAATGGCAACGACAAACGAGGCCTGATCATAATCACACTTAATGTGAATAGATTAAACATGTCAATTAAGAGAAAAAGAGTAGCAGAATGAGTGAAAATTCATAAATGAGATATAATACAGTGTGATAGAAGAAAACACAGACCAACGCGGGTTAGAGGAGTTGACAAGCAAATGGAACTTTTTCAGGTAAAGGCTATTTATTCAAAAACTCTGGTATGTAAGGCAAAGAGAGAAACCAGATGAAGCCTGCTTGAAAAAGCTAAGGAAAGCCTTTTTTCTTTGTATATTTGGTTGATTGTTAATTGGATAAATGGCTCTTTGTTTCTGTTTTATGACTTGAAGATGTGGATGTTGTAAACTGAAGGGAAGGGGGCAGAGGGAAATAGAGAGCCTGCCTGTGTGACAGAATAATTAGTAGAGAAGGAACAGGGTGAAAGGGATAAGATGTCATTGACTTTTCCCTTGAAGCTCCATCTAAGAGGCTAGAGCAGGATGGAAGCACACATTTAAGACTACGAATAAAGGGAAAGCACCTGGAAACAACACTGACCCAACAGATCCATCCTCATCAGAAAATAAGACCTGGAGCAAAGGAGAGGGTGGGACAGCCACTTTAAGGATGAATGATGTTAAAGATTTAAAAATACTAATGGAATGATAACAGAAGCATGAAAAGAAGATCGCTGGAATGCACAGTCATTGCATCAAAAAATAATTTCTTGATGTTCTACCATTTCAGAAGGCAGCATGTGATTAAGAATTACTGGTCCTTAATCGCATGCTACCTTGAACCATGAAGAATGAAGCCCAAGCCTTACCAAAGGCATTGGTAAAAAAAAAAAAATGCTTCAAATATTGACAAAATAACAACTTAAATATTTTAAACAAATGCAACCCTGGATGGGCTCACTCATTTAGACCAAGAAATTTAGGAGACAGCCATTTATTTGGCCAATCAACTAAAGAGATCCACATCTGTGGCCACTCCATTCCAAAGAAAGGTGATTCAACAGAATTTGGAAATTATAGAATGATATTTTTCATTCCACACACAATTAAAATTTTGCTGAACATAATCTCAAAACAGTAGAGTAATAAGTACATGTAGAAATGTTTGAAACGCAAGACATTTTTCAGAGAGGACATGGGGCAAGGGGATATCACTGCTGAAGTCAGATTAATCTTGGCTGAAAGCAGAGGATATTTACCTGTGTTTTATAGACTAAACTAGCTATGGATAACATTTCAAAGAATGGGGATTCCATAAAACTTAATAGTGCTCACAAAGAACTTGTACATAGAGCAAGAAGTAGTCATTCAAATAGATCAAAGGGGTACTGCACAGTTTAAAATCAGGAGAAGTGCGGGGCATGGTTTTATCTTTTCACTATAACTATTCACTGTGTATGATGAGCAAATAACCCAAGAAGATGGACTAAATGAAGGAAAATATTGTATCAGAATACGAGGAAGGCTCACCAACAACTTGTGTAGTACAGATAACACAATTTTGCTTGCTGGAGGTGAAGAGATCTTGATGTATTACTACTGATGAAACTCAAAGACTACATAGCACTAGAGCCTACAATATGGACTGCACCACAACACAAAAAGAAGAGCAAAAAGTCCTCTCAACTGGACCAATAAAAACATCAGGATAAACAGAGGAAAGAGTGAAGTTATCAAGGATTTCATTTTACTTGGATCCACAATCAACACTAATGGAGTAGCAGTCAAGAAGCCAAATGATCGACAGTACTGGGAAAATCTGTTCCCTATGATCTCTATAAAGTGCTACAGAGCAAGAGTGTCACTGTGAGAGCTAAATTATGCCTGATCCAAGTCATACATAGACTCGAATGCATGTGTAAGGTGCACAAGGAATAAAAAATAAAGACTTCATAACTTTAACTTGTGGTGTTGAGACAGAATACTGAATCATATACTGCCAAAAAGCATCTCTCATATAGTCTGGTAACATTAGCAGTAGGGGCTAGTCACTGGAGAAAGGCACTATGCTCGATAAAGTCAAGGGCCAAAGAGAAAAACCCTCAACAGGATAGACCGGTACTGTGGTTTTAGCAAAGCACTTGAGCACTGCAGAGATTATGATGCAAAGGAACAGGCAGTATATTGTTTCATTCTATTTTACATAAAGTCCTTAGGAGTCAGGCTGATTCCGTGGCACCTAAGAACAACAAAAACTTGCTGAATGTGGAAAACACCTAACAACAACAAAATCTTGCTGAAAGCTAAAGGAAATGTCTCTGGGTTACAGAGAGTTTTGATTGCTATAAAATTCTTCTAGAAATAAATGTCTAAGAGAGACTTTCAAAATATTTTGGAGATCTCTAGAAAGTACATTACTTTTAACAGTCTCAGGAGTTAAGCCAGAATTATTACCTCTGGATTGTAAAATTGAAATGTGGTATAAATCAATTTAACGTGTTTTTTGGTTTTCTCTCAGAGTCAAGGCTACATTTGTGTTCAGTACACAAAAATAAAAACTAAATATACAACCTAGCAAGAACTGTCTTGTCATTTATTTGCTGTTGGTCATTTATATTTTAGAAGGGAGCTGGTATAGATTTATGTTGCAGAGAATGAGGAGGACTGAAATTACCAAATAACTACTCAATTACCAAAAAAAAAGGTCCCTAAAGTAAGCTCTTACAGAAGATGTTAAGGAAAATTGACTAGAGTATAAAAAAGAAAATACTCATATTCATAACTGTTCTACTTATTTAAAGGGAAACAAAAGTGGAAAGTAAATTTTGGTATATTTACAATTATCTTTAAAGTTCAAGTCCAAACAGGTTCTGTTAAAATATACTTACAGCATAGTGTATAACATGTCCAGTTATTAATGAAAAGGTTGGCAATTCAGACTCACCAGCTGTTCCACAAGCGAAATATGGACAGCTTCCTCTGACAAAGATTTATAGCCTTAAAAATCTCATAGAGTGCAAGAACATAGAAACAGTCCAAATGTTCAAATACAATTGAATAGATTGGGAAATTGTGGTACATTCACACAACGGAATACTACATAGCACTCAGGAGCAACAATGTGAAAAAACAAATACTCCACAACTTGGGAGAGATTGGAGAGCATTATGCCGAGTTAATTGACTCAGTCTCATAAGAACAATTAATGCTTAAGACCATTTTATAAAAATAGAAGGAAAACTAGTAAACTAGTAGAACGATACATAACTAGTAAAAGGGGTAAGTATGTATAGAGGATGAAAGAGGGTAAGGGATGGAAGCAGAGAGGTGAGGATGGGCAGGGGAGAATCACAGGGCCGCACAATTTGGTGGGTTAAGGGAAGGGGCAAGAAAAAGAGAAAAATGTGGTGAGGGCCTGAAAAAAACAGGGGAATGGTGGCATAATCCTATGGTGATTAATTTTATAAAACATAATTATATGTGAGTGTATGAAACAGTATCATTGAAGGAAAGTGAGAAACACAATGTATATTTTGAAAATAACAATACATTTGAATGCAATGAATACATGACTATACGAAAATATATAAATGCATATTTTTAATGAGAAAAATAAAATATATATTAAAGTTTAAAAAAAAATCTGGTGGAAGATAGCAATGAGTTACATTGGACTGGCCAGTGGGTTTAGGCTGGTGTTTGGTATTTCAACTAGATGCTGCCACCTACTGGACAATTTACAAGGTATTTGGTTTTTTCCTGGGAGCAAAAACACTATATGCAACTACAAAGAAATGCACAGTTACATATGTTAAAATACAATTATTAAAAAAATTTATGACAAATCTTTGTTTTACTTTAGTAAGCATTATTGAAACTTTTTTATTTTAAAGTGCACAGCTGTGTATAAACTCGATCATTTGTTTAAAATTTTATTTTTCATTAAGTCAAATGGCTAAAAATAGGATAAATTAGGGATGGATTTTTTTTCCCACAGCTTGAAATGAGACATCTTGTGGAAGAATCTGCGGCATTTAGGGATCTGTCTGCATACAATGGTCGTGGGAGCTCTGGTGGCACAGTGGTAAGAAGCTGCACCGCAATCCCGATGGTACGCGTTTTGAATCCACCAGCTGCTCGGTGAGAAAAGGCTGGACAATCTCCTCCAGTTCAGTTAACTGCCTCTTGAAAACCCACCGGAAGGTCAGCTATAGGTCAGTTCTGACTCGATGGTAGACAGCAACAACAAGAGAGGCATAGAACACATAATGCAAATGAAGATAAAGACAAGCTTTGCCTATTTATTCTTTTTCTTTGCCCTGTCCCCTCCAACCATGGGCAAATAAAATAAAGATCCTTGAAGCATATACTTAAACTCAATGTCATCTATATATAATCCTGCCCAATGTGGTCAGTTATTTATTTCTCCTCAAAAAGAGCTAAACTCCCAAAGAGAAAAACATCATTGAATTGGAATTTTGGTTTAATCTAAATATTCTATTACTCAAAGATGAAAAAAAAATTAATTCCATCACAATCTTACCAGCAGTTTCTTCTGATGCTGCAGTCAGAGCCAAAAACATTTTTGTATTTTCCATCTCTTCATTACTTTGCCAAGTTGCACCAGTTTTTGCAGACTAATGAAAAAGAGAGTAAAGTTTAGTTATGAGGAAAAAGGCAGCTATTTTAATAGTTGGGGGTTTTTAAAATATTTTAACATGGCTTTCACCAGCATTTACACAACAAAGATGTTGCAGGCCATTGTGATTCTTTTAATTAGAAAGTATATTAACAAGAGTCCAGAATGAAGGTTGCACAGTGGAGTGTACTCAGGGTGGGTGGATTGTATACCAATGAAGGAATTTTTCTTTTACTTTTCAAGGAGAGGCACGAACTGGGGGGAAGAGGTGGGCAGGGAGAAAAGTGCAACAATGAATGAATGGAAATCCAAAATCTCTGTAAATGTTTATTAAAATTGATTTTAAAAAAAGAAAAGAAATAATAATAATAATGTGTATTTAATGTCCTGTTCAAGCAACAGTCTTTCCATTGGTATTTCCAAGTAGAGTCATAGAATATATAAATCATCATATGATAATTATCTTGCTTAAAGTTTACTAAATTAGTATATCTACTTTATAACTGATTTATAAACTAAAGGCATACGTCAAACTGATTTTAGAAAACCTTCACCAGTACTGTATATTATTACATTTACATTTATGATTCCTCCTTGCAAGCAAGTTGACAGATTTAAAGAGGCCTGTTATTTCAGAAGTGGATGGCCAATCCTTTTTCCTAGCCTGTCTTCATTGGGAGCTCCACTACAACCTGTCCATCATGGGTGACGTGACCCCTCTGGCATGGGAAACACTGGTGACACAGCTTTTTTAGCATCATGGCAACCTCCAAGTGCTCCTTGGAGGCAAGAATGATGAGGCTTCATCTCTCATAGTTTGGACATGTTGTAGGAAAGGCTATTTCTCGGAGAGGTAATAACATCATGCATGGGAATGTAGAGAAGCAGCAAAGGAGAGAAAGACCTTTAGCCAGGTGGGCTGACATAGTAACTGTGGCCATGGGCTTGGGTGTGTCAGATATTGTAAGGATGGCATGGGATAGGACAGGGTTCAGATCAGTGGTTGATAATGTCGCTGTGAGTCATACTCTACTAGATAGCACATAACTTCCAAACTAGTAAAAACTTGCTTTAAGATTGAATAAAATGAAAGGCTATTTTTCTCCTTAAATTAACATAAATTGTTCCTTTCATTTAAAGCACTGTAACATCAGTGTTGCTTTCTTCCTATCCCAATTTCTAATAAGTCAGAACCAAATCATGGGTGATCCTGAAACTGCACCGAAGAGTGCCTATCATTCTCCTTTCGAGCAGCTGGTGGGTTCAAACTGCCTGCATTTGGGCTAGGAGCGCAACACCTTACCCACTAAATCACCAAGACTCCCTACCCAAATGGTCTCCCTAACATATAGTTTTCATTCTTTTTTTTTAATATTTTTTTTAATTGGGAAAAACGTATTGGGGGTACAAGGAGGTGAGTGTTGGGGGCAGAAGGGTGAGGATGGGCCAGGATGCAGTTGCAGAGCTGCACAGTTTGGTCGGTGGGGGGAG